TTATTTAGAGGGGTTTAAAATTTGATACAACTTGTGAAAAGTACAATCATAGATCCTACGCTTTTAATTAATTTGGATATTTTGATCAAATTAAAAATATTTATTTAACCTGGTTTCATAAAATCTAGCCTAAAACTAATTCAATCAGTCAAATATTAAGAAAATATTGTATGTTTGGATGCATTAATTAAACTATAGGTTTTTTTAATTCATTTTCTTTCCATTTTGAGAAACAACCTATAAATTAGAGAAGCTTAATTATTTTAGTCCCGAAAAAAAAAAGTTACCTTATAATTTATATGTATCTTTAATTTGTTTATTTTTGTTTACATTCCATTCAAGAGTGGTAATTTGTTTAGATTTATAATTTTGAATTTTATTTCAAATTATTGTTAACATAGAAAAGATCATTTTTTTTTAAAAAAAAAAGCAATTAACATGTCTCAATCCAAATTAACTCTTCCGACCTATGATTCAGTCGTTGAATTAAGCCGATTCTTGGATAGAGATTAATAACTATATTTTAAAACAAGAATCCATTAAATATTGCATTGAGTGTGAGCTCATCTTCTCATGCAATGATCCATATAATATAAATATGAGAAGCTGAACTCGTCAATGGCTATCACCGTCTGCAGAAGCTCATCACTGCCATATTTTTTTTCAGTGATAGCTTAGCATCGTAGGTTACGCAGGGAATTATAAATCAACTCTATCCTTGTAATTTTGCCTGGAAACAAGTCAAACCCAGCTTTGAAATGATCATCGAATTGAAAACATTTTTCTTCCATAGTTTTAGAAAGCATTATCAAATTAAAATCCCTCCTTGCACGGCCAAATATTCTATTGGGTGCAGGGAAGAAGACGTTTTTATTTCTTTACTCGAAAATAAAACTGGTTTGTTTTTTTATTTTAAAAATATTTGATTTTTTTTATATTTTTAAATAAAGAATATCTCAAAAAAAAACATCACTTATAGTCTTTTAGTTTTAAGTTTGCGGATATAAAATGGGTTCTCATCATTTTTTTTAATATGAAATGGTCAAGTTTGTTACTCTTGATTGAATAAATAATCGATAGAAAATGAGTTATAAATTGTAAATTATTAAAAACCTATAAAGAAATCAAGGTTTCTAGAAAACATAAGATGTGATTTAAACCCAAATTAAATATTAAGATATGTATGGGGCCTGCATTCTTTCTTTGTAGGATTAGACCGGCATTGTATATTTTTAGACTTCAATGTTGCAAGTTTGAAAGCTAAAAATATATATATAAAAATAAAAAAGAAGAAATATCTTATATTTGAAGGAAGAGCTTCTATACAATTAAAAACTAAAAACTAGTGGTTTTGAATTTAGGTTTTTTAATGTAATTATAAGTATTTATAAATATTATCGTGATTATGATTTAAAATGTTTTTTATCAGAAATATATTAAAATAAATTTTTTTAATTTTTAAAAATTATTTTTTATATCATCATATAAAAACAATTTATAAATATAAAAAATTAAAAAATATAAAATTGTTAACACTATTTAACAAGAAATTAAATTGGGGTAGGTTTTTTTTATTTTGGTGGGCTTTACCAAAGAGTGCTAGGAACTATAAAAAAGAAATGGCTCCTTGAGAAGGGGGTCATCTTGCATTAAAGACCGAAGACACCTACCAAAACGTGCTGCTTTCTAATATTCTCACTTACCTTTACGCTATTGTATGAGGGTTGGTCAGATTGGAGTCTATAATTTATTTATTTATTTATAGCTTAATTATGGTTTGTTTTTAATTTGAAATTATATTTAAATATATTTAGTTTGAAAAAAATATTAAATTAACAATTTTTTAATATGGTAATATAAAAATAATCTAAAGAAATTTTACAAGCAACCTTTAAACAGACAAAATCAGCCCGTGGGCGCCAAGAACAACGGCCATTGCACGCATATCAAGAGACGAGACAAATTGCCCACGAGCTGCTAGCCTTGCTCCTTGTTTGATCAGTCCAATTTCAGATCGGATTCTCTCCGCCTCACACATTCGCATTGAAAGTTTCAATCACTTGCCAAATCTCAATGTGATCATTGAATTATAAATTTCACTCCAAATTTATAGTCTTTTCAAAGAGGAGCTAGTGATGAAACAAAGTTTCATCTGTTATTTCAAGATTTAGATTTTGCTCTTCATCAACAACTCTCATTTGGGTTCTTCCTTTTTTCTCCAAAATCCTTTCTTGTTGTCACATTAATCGTGGTCATTAAGTATTATTTTCATCTGGGGTTTCGAATTTACAGGATTTGATTGCATTAATGTACTTATTTAGTGTTGATTATTTAGGTCTTTTTTTGTTAATTATTTAGTGGTGATGGCTTCTTCAATGTTTTTTATCATCTGCATCCTACATTCAACCATTGCAATAACATTAGGATCATTAATAATGTTCTATCTCAAAGAAATCTCAGTGGTTGGCCATGGTACTGTAACAGCTCAAAAGCTTTTAGGATCAACCCCGCATGACCAATTGTTGATCCAAATCTCCAATTCTTTTGCGGGTCTGCTTCTGTTTGTAGTTGGTTTTTTGGTGTTCATGGTGGCATTTGTTAAGGACAGAGAGTTTCAAAACTTTTTTGCTAAAGGGTGTGCTCTTCTCCACGTAGTAATGGCTATTTGGAGGTTTTACTTTGAAAGAAGGGTTGAGGATTTGGCATGGGATTGGCCTAAGCAGGTAGTTGGAGATTTTGTGATGGCACTTTCATGGGTGTTCTTTCTCTTGTTTACCTGGAGAGAAAAATATGATTAGTCTTAAGAAGATCCGTGTCTCAATAATGTAGAAAAACATTGAAGATTTCTCAATGTTTGGTGGCGGCACTATTGAATATTAATGCAGCAGCAGATCACATCTTTTTTTGGCATAAATGTGCACATTGCCTTTTCCAATCAAGGAGAGAGTTGGAGGTGGAGCATGCTTCTTCACTATAGGGTTAGTGCATTGTGACAATGTGCCTACCGTGCTGTGAAGGAATGGATGGCCCTTTGAGGTCTGATATATTTTCACTCCATTTTGAGAATTATGCCAACTCTAGAAGAGATTCAATCTCTTGGCTCACAATTTCCCTTGGAGTTTAGTTATTGATTTATTGTTTGAATCCTGCTTGTCAAGAAAATCTGGCTGCTTTCTTATTTTCAACTTTGTCTGAAATCTCTACGTAAGAGTGTTCAATTCCGTTGTCATTTACAATGAGATCGACTTTGTAATTAGATGTGAAGGATTGATTTATCGACTCTTTTTTTTCCCGATACCTCCTGGAAGAAGGGAACTACTGGTAGCATCAAACGATCTGTTGAGCCAATTACTTTGTTGTCACCTTTCTTTGTCTTCCCCTATCTGTTTCTTTGTTTTTTGCCCACTCATGGAGAAGAATAAATTTGTCAAAAGAAGTGCATATCTGCATAAACATGATGCAGTAATTATGTAGTCTTTTGCACCTAACAACGATGTCATATGAGCTTCAATTGTGGCTGAGTTGTCATGGTCCATCGACTATATATGGCCTTAGGGATCATAAAATTGGGAGTACTTGCTCTGTTGATCCATCTAAAGCAATCAATATCTAGGCAGATAGGGTAAAGATAACTTAATTTTCCTAGCATCCCAACAAAATGATGCTACCCCACCCTGCAAGTGGTCCTCCCTCTCAAGGCTGAGCATCTGGACCAGAGAAGAGCTACCTCCTCTCTCCCCTTTCTCGAACAATATTATAATTAACATGCAGCAAAAGGGCACTGGCAAATAAAGGTGAATCCCACGCTCACATGTCTCACCTAATTTAGGTACCATGGCACTAAGAATTCATACGCCCAAATAAACACTTCTTGTCTTAAAAAAGAAGAAAAAACACGATCCATTCAGCTAAAATTGGTAGTGTACACCATGGACGTGAAACATAGGATGTGCTCATAGGATATGCTCATGAGTTCCTGGAGTTCTTATGCTGTGTTGTTCCTTGGAGCAAGTCCGAATAAAGAAGAGGAAGAGCAGGGAAAAGTTAACTTGCCATGGAACTTCTTAGATTCTGCTAGGTGTAAAGTAAGAGTTTGGCAACCTGGACAAGGAATCTGCCATAGCAAGTGTCGACGGAAGAGCTAAATGAAGACCACCCCAAGTGCCTAAACCAGACTTTTGGGTCCTAAAGTGCCGAGCCGAAAATGCTTTATTTACCCAGAATCAAAGCTTAAGAGCCCAAAAACAGAAGTTGCCGGGAAAGGGATAACCCAAAACTGTTCGCCCTCTGTGACCAAGACTTGGGTTTTACTTGGACCATATCGATCCCAGAATAAATTCCGTTCTCCTTCACTCCCACCTTGAGCAAGTGTACACACTCTCCAAGCACACAGAATTGACCAAACACCTTCTTTCCTCGTTAAGAAATCTAAGCTGTTTTTTAGATGTTTATTTTTTAGAACTTGTAATGGGGTAAATATTATGTTTTAAATTATATTATTTATCTTTGAATTAAAATATAAAAAAAAATATCTTAATATGTCATTCATACTGTAAATTCACATAAAGAATTATTTTCCTATAAATATATATCTCTTATTTGAGTTATTGATATATTAATATAAGAATAGTTTGATCAGTGTCCAATTTAATAACTTATATTTATCTACGATACAAACAACAATTTTTCAAGAAAAAAGCTTCATAGGTAAATACTATTCTCTTTTTTTTTAAAAAAAAAGAAGAAGAAGTAAATCAACTATTTACCATCCGGGTTGGCAGCCAGCCAACCCTATAAGAGTTTAAGGCTTTAACAAAGCTTTAAAGAAAGAAAAGTGCTTCCACGGACCATTCTTGAGAGTGTTATTGTGCCCTTGTAATGATACCGTCTGCCCCTTTCCATCAGATAGGTGCCTGAGAAAATCATCAAAAGCAAACCCAAGACTAACAGGAGAGATAGAGAGGTAAAATTCAAGCAAAAGACCAGAGCAAGGATAAAAATGAAAGCTTGTTGTCAAAATATGGAGCAAGAAGAACAAGAAACCCCAACACCAAGATCACCAAGAACGCCGAGGGCATCATCAACAACATATAGTTTGGTGCTTGCAATCATGAGCAAAAGGAGAACATGGGTATGTCTTTTTGTTATTGTATATGCAATCTTGTTATCATCCTCATGGAACTGGCTTAAAACCATACTTTCTTGGTACAAACAACAAGAATCTCAATCTAGCTCTGCATCCGGGTGGCCTGCTTTGTATGCGTCTGTGCTTCTTGGCGCAGTCTTCGGACTTCTTTCAATGGTTGCAGCTCTTGCTGTGGCTGTGCCTGCCACTTTGGTTATATGGATCACGGTTGTGGTTATGTTAACTTTCTTCGGGAAGCCAAGGAGGGTTTTGGTTGTCGAAGGAAGAAAGATTACAAAAGAGATTATAGGGTTTGTGTTCAAGACTTTGTTGAAAGAAGGGAATGCTGTGGCTGCTGTTTGTGCTGTTTTGGGATACTTTGTTATTTTCAGAAGGAATAGTGAGGTTGATTAAGTGAGTCTTGCTAATGGGTTCTTTGGAAAGTGGATGTTTTTTTTTTCTTCTTGTTTCTTGGTTTTAGAAGATAGGGATGTGAAGAAATGGGAAAGCTTAATTGTAATGGCTCTACTTTTTTCCTAATTTTATTGTATTTTATTTATAATTAATGTGATTATTAATCTACTGATCTCCATCTTAACAAGATGAATCAAGTTGTTTTTGGGGTTAATTAGAGATTAGAAAGAAAAAAAAAGGAAACCTTGAAGGGGGCTAGGCGGTCATTATTGCTGCTCATTCTAGTCTTTTGTCTCGCTGATGACCAAAGATTTTCATGTATTTTGGGAGCTTGGAATGCATTTCGTTGAACATGGGACCTTGATAAAAGAGGAAAACAAGGCTCTAGCTTTGAATGCAGCAGATCTCCAATGTCCATAACCCACAACTTCTATGATTGTGAGAGGCTGGCAGACTAGAATAGTAGAATTGAATCAATTGTGTCGGTCAAATTATTTGGACAAATGTTAACAGGAAAATGAGAAGATATTATCCATTTACCATATGGAAATGCGCTTATTAAAAATGTCCAGATATTTCAAGTCAGCTGTGATTATTTCGATTCTGACTACTGTTTGGGATATAATCAGTAAAAATGTCAAGGAATGCCCTTTGAAAACCAGGAATTTAGGTTTCTTCTGCTGGAGGTTCAAGTATTTCTAGAGAAAGGATGCCCAGATGATATAATCAATAAAGTGGCGTCGCCCTCCCTAGCTTTGATAGACCTGAGAGGAGTGAGGCCATGTTCATAATTTAATCCATGGCGTAGCCATAACTTCGCAGAAAGTTGTAGTCTTCTTTACTTTTCTATACAAGTCCATGCACAATTTGTCAGAATTAGACGTATAGAAATGCCTTCTTGATTCACATGTCTTGCTAGCAGCCATGAAATGGCGATCAGCATCTTTGAAGAATTTTCCTTGTATAGCCTAGTAACTAGTCCCGTGTGGCTGCTTGAGAGAGCAAGTGGAAGGCCCTTTGATTGGAAATTGACCAAGAGAATGTCGTAGAAAATGCCCTAGCAGCCTTCTTTCTGTTTAGACGAAGTCCACGACAAGGATTTTGTTAAGAGCTCGAATATGGTGTCTTCTCTTGAAGTGGTCCTTGGCATCCATGATCATTATCGGCCAACTTCCCAAGAAGCCTTAGCTTTTACCAGGGTCAAATGGGCAAGCAGAAGGCAGAAGCCCAAATTCCCAACCAAATCCATTATCATCCTTAGAAAGCCATATTCATGAACTTCAAAGAGTCTGGCCCAGAAAACTTCACAGTTCACGTAGCTCTAGATTGTGCAGGCTATTCAGGCTGATCACAAGGTAAGTATCTACCACCAGTGGCTATTGCGCCGCTGCCGCACCATTGAATTCAATATAGGAATTGATCGTGTAAAGGGAGTTTGAACACTGTTATTTTCTAAATAAGATTGGATTTTCTCACGGACAAGGCCTGGACCATGTCTCGGATTAGCGAGTCACCGGAGCATGAGAAGTTCTAGTAGAATGGTGGTAAGATTTTCATACGGAGCAGATGGAACCTCGCTAGCTTGGTGTGGCAATTATTTCAAGGATGATAGTAAATTTCATTGCCTTTTCTTTTGGTTTTACACACAGGACCCATAACCCAAAATCACTAGCCCCTTCTTCCCGATTTTGCAGAACTATTACTGCATTGAACGGCCTGCCCTAAACATGTAGCGTGTAGGCCATTCGTATGAGGCTTGGCTTTATCGCCGGTGATGGTCTGATATCTTGTAAGCTTTCGGCGGGAGCCTTAGGTCTGAACTGAAGTAGCCGCACTTGGCTTGTCCTCCTCCTGTGGAGGATGGACCAACCTTCTAGTGTCTGCAACACAATTAAATACCAGCAGACGGCAAGAATATTTTTATTTAAATTCTTAATCATTTTGAAAACATACCATTTACATTTATATTGGTTTTGTAGAAAAAAAAATAACGGTGAAGGAGAGATTATTATATCCAAAATACATTTTATTATTATTGGAATAGTAAAAATATAAATTTACTTCTAATTTAAAAAAACTTTAAATAGACATTGAGATAAGATTATCTTTTTATCCTAACAAAAATATCTTTTATAAATTATAAAGAGTTAGATTGTTTATTTTGTGTTTCATTTCATTACATAGTAAAATTATTAATTTAATACTAAAATAAAATAATATAATACCTACTATTGAGGAGGATATTTTGATCTTTTTAAAATTTTTAGAATAGTTTAATTATTTTTATCCTCTTAAAAACAAAACCAATACAAGGGATTTTTTGTTATTGTATATTGGTTTTATTGTAAATTTAAATGTTTATTTAGGAGTACTATTGTAATTAATATATATTAAATATTATTAAAAAAAAACCTCTTGACACACATTAATAGCTCTTATGATATTTAGTTAGCACGTGCGAGACTATTCAACCACTAAATACTACTTTTCATAACAATATTTGATAAATCTTGGCAACTTTTTTTTTTTTTTTGATTAACGTGGGTGTCTGGGTTAGCTTACGCGCACCACGACTAATCCCACGGTCCACTGGACATCCTGCAAGCCTCAGTGAACAGGTTAGGCACCGCGGAGGTGACAGGCGTACCACACAGCAAGGAGGGAGCCAGCAGAACCAGAAAGGACACCACTCGCCAGCCCTACTCCCACTAGGACTCGAACCGAAGTTCGAAAGAAGGCGAGCAGCGCCTTACGCCACTGAGCTACAAGCTGCTTGGTAAATCTTGGCAACTCTAGCATGATGGGATGACGAGTGCCCCCAAACACTTCTTAATTAGGTGTCGACGACTGTTTTTATCCTCTTTTGTTTTTACTCTTAACAATAAATTCTGTGTCAACCCCTTCAATTTCATATTAACCCTTATAATTTATTTTTTCTTCATATTTGATCCTTGTTTTTTTTTTGTTTTTTTTATTGTCCATAAAATTACAAATATTTCATAATCTCACCCCCAACTATTTTTTAATCTATAAATAATATATTATATTACAAATACCTTTTAATTTCACTCCTGTGATTTTTTAATCTATCAAATATTATCATTTTTCTTTTAATTATTATTTGTTTTGTTTTAGACTATTTTTTATTTTTTTTACAATTTCATACTCCTTAATTTTTTTTCCTATCAAATCTTATCCTCGTTTTTTTTTTGTTGATATCATTTTACTTTTGCAAGTTTTTTTGTTAATATTTTTACCACAATTTTATTCTTTAAAATTAAATTGATTGGAAATTAAGTTATTTTATTAAACCCGGGTCCAGAATTTCACGAGTTACAAGTTTTTAAGATTATATTATATTTGGGAGATTCGCTCAAGTTTGTTTGATTATTTCTCTTTTTTCTAAGCTGAAGTTTTCTTATTTTTACTTTTGCTTTGTTATTTTTAACGGTTTGCTTTATATAGGGTTAAACTTGAGTTCATTATCAGGATTACCGGTTTCAAATGTTAAAGTAGATTCATTTTTTTTACCAAGCAATTTATTTCAATTTTATTTTTTTAATCTTTTTTCATATTTTTTTTCTATGAGATTATCTCAATTTTATATTCATGGTCACGGGATTTTCGATTTTAGCTAGTTTAATAAGGTTTTTTTAGTTTTTTTAAATTTTTTTTTTTTATAGTTTCACCTTTTAACATTATATTATTTGATGATTTGAACGAGCGGAAGTTAGATTTTTTTTTTTGTTATTTTTTGTAAGCAATCTATTTATTATTATTATATTTTTTGTTTATATTATTTAAATCATTATTAAATCAATAACTTGGATCTTGAATATTTTTAATCTATTTTTTTTATGTTAAACAAAAATATCTCCTCTCCTGCAGAGCGCATGCAACAAATCTAGTGCATATACTAAAACAATATACTGTTACTTCTGCAAATGAAAAATAATGTATGTATCCCACTCCCCCATTACTTTAATTTCAGTTGGATGACCCATCTAATGCTAAGTTTAATGGGACAATGCCACGCTTAGCAAGGTTGAAGAAACAATTGAAAATGATTTGTCAATGGATAAGAAATCGTTTTCCAAGGATCGATCCCAAGGAAGAAGAAAGGGAAAGACTGAAAATGATTTCCAAATAAATTGTGCATACAAAAACTTTATATAAAATGAAGTGTGTAAAACCCAAAATATAAAAGATAAAATATAATTGATTTTTTTATTAAAGTTTATTTTTTTTTGAAATATATTAAAATAATATTTTTTATTTTTTTAAAATTTATTTTTGACATCAATATATTAAAAAATTAAAAAAATTAAAAAATTTAAAATAATTTTTTTTTTATGCCGTGTAAGCAAACACGAGTTTGTTTGATACTATGATGATATGATTATTTTTTAAAGTATTTTTTTATTTAAAAATTTATTAAAATAATATTTTTTATTTATTAAAATTTATTTTTCATATTAATATATTAAAACAGTGTAAAAATATTATAAAAACAAAAGAATTCTGCCAACCATGCCAAATACCATGTCAGGATTGCTATCCTTCGCATTGTTGAGTACATTGCACTAAAGTATCTATCCATGCTAATATAATGTGTTCAGAGTACTTTTAAAAAAAAAAATTAAGATTAAAATAATATTTTTAACCATCAAACTAATTCAATTCAATGATATTTACTATAAAAAAAAATCCCAGTAATAAAAACTTTGCTACCTAAAGATTGAATGCCCTCACGTAGGCTGTAGTCTCGTGATATGCTACTTGGCTCCTACCGAGTGTCGGTGGCTCTCTGTAATGCAACAAGAACACTATATTTCTATTTTTAGGAATCTGTGCTTAAATTTGTTGGGAGTTACATAATATTATCCTTGGAGATCGCAGATAAAAACACATGGGAAACAGACAGGCCTTTTTTAAAAAATAAAAAATAAAAAACTAACAGAGCTTTTTTAAAAAATATATTAACGGACAACTATATTATATTTTAGTTTTTTAAAAAAAACTTAATTCGTCAAATTCACAACAAAATAATACATAGATTACTTCGCGAATGTAGTCCATTTTTTAAAATAATTTTAATTTTTTTAAAATAAAATAATATTATTTTAATTGATTTAAGACAAAAATTAAATTTAGTTAAATAATAAGGACCATACCTCCAATATGACTAA